TTCAGTTGTATAATTTCTCTCTGGTTCAGTTCTGGTTCTCCCCACCCCATTCCTTGATGAAATTCATATTGTCTTTTATCACCTTGAACATTTTAAACACACGTATGTTAAATTGTAATTAACAGTATCTACAGATGCTGTAGGTCTGTTTCTATGGATTATTTCCAGTCGCCCCCATTCATGTCCTGTTTCATTTGCTTGGTAGATACTTATTGATGCTGAATACTCAAATCTAAAATGACTAATTTCATTGACAAATTAACTCTGTTTCTTTTGCCTAAGTCCTGTTCTTTGGGGGTCTTTGTCTGAGATGGGGGGTTCTGCTAGTCCCGCAGACTTGTTATTCCTAGACCCCAGTTTTCGACATCTGCTCATGGCAAGGCTGTGAGAAGTGTGCTTAGACTTCTCGCCTCCTGTGCTGGACCACGTTTCTGGGGTGAGGTGGTTCCACATGCCTGGCTCAAGTCCCTGGGTTTTCACCTTCTATATCTTAGCTTAGAAACCGAATAGCACCTTTGTAAGCTTTCTGATGCCTTCAAGATTGTATATTTTAACCCATTTTTTGTTGTTGTTGTCCTTAGCGAGACAGTTGTCAGCATCACCTCTTTCATCTTTAGGAACAAATGATTTATTTATTTATTTATTTCAAAGAGTGACAGAGAGAGGGAAAGATAAAGAAATCTTCTATCTGCTGGTTCACCCCCACAGTGGCCACAACAATAGGGCTGGGCCAGGCCAAAGCCAGGACCTCTGTGGGTCTCCCATGTGGGTAGCAAGGACACAAGCATTTAAGCCATCATCTGCTGCCTCCCAGAATGCACTGGGCAGAAGCTGGATCTGAAGCGGAGAAGTCAAAATGAACTGGCACCTCAGTATAGGATACGGGTGTCCCAAGCAGTAGCTGGAACATGCTGTTCCACAAAGCCAGCCCAGCAAAGCCACTTCTGAGTACACTTAGAGCAGGACCTCTCAATCTTTTTATTTATTTATTTATTTATTTATTCATTGAAAGGCGGAGTTAGAGAGGAAGAGGTACAGAGAGGTCTTCCATCCACTGGTTTATTCTCCAAATGGCTGTAACAGCTAGAGCTGGGCCAGTCTGGAGCCAGAAGCTTCTTCCGTGTCTCCCACGTGGGTGCAGGAACCCAAGTACTTGGACCATCTTCCACTGCTTTCCTAGGCACATTAGCAGGGAGTTAGATCAGAAGTGGAGCATCTGGGCCTCGAACTGGCACCCAAAAGGGATGCTGGTGCTGTAGGCAGTGGCTTAAACCCCTGAGCCACAGTGCTGGCCACCTTCTGAGTCTTTTTTTTTTTAAGATTTTTTATTTATTTATCTTTGAGGTAGAGTTACAGACAATGAAAGGGAGAGACAGAGAGAAAGGTCTTCCATATGTTGATTCACTCCCCAGATGGCCACAACAGCCAGAGCTGTGCCAATTTGAAGCCAGGAGCTTCCTCCAGTCTCCCACACAGGTGCAGGGACCCAAGGACTTGGGCCATCTTCCACTGCTTTCCCAGGCCACAGGCAGAAAGCTGGATTGGAAGTGGAGCAGCCAGGACTAGAACCAGCACCCATATAAGATGCCGGCACCGCAGGCGGAGGATTAACCTACTGTGCCACCGTGCTGGCCCTACACCCTCTCAGTCTCTTATGTACATACGATTCCCCACTGGGGGCAACATGCCTGGTTAGAACCCGTTGGGATCAGTAAGCCTGCGGGCAGACCTGAGATCCTTCTTTCTAACAAGCTCCCAGATGATGTGAGGCTCACACAGAGCCAGGGGCACACTTCAAATAGCAAGGTCTGGGACCGGTGGGCTTAGCTGCTGCTTGGGACGCCTGCATCTCATATCAGAGTGCCTGGCACTGAGTCCCACCTCTGCTTTCCGATGCAGCTTTCTGCTAACGTGCACCCAGGGAAGAGATGATGGCCCAAGGACTTGGGTTCTTGCTACCCAGGTGAGGGATCTGGAGGGAGTACCTGGCTCCTAGGTTCAGTTTGGCCCAACCCTGACCATTGCAGGCATTTAGGAAGCAAACCAGAATATGAAAGATCTCTCTTTCTCTGTCACTCTGCCTTTAAAATAAATCTTTTAATGAAGGCTCAAGACAGACTCACGAGCATTGGAAGGTACTTCAAAAAATTTGTAGAAGAAAAGGAATTAAGAGTTTATTTTGGTGTAAAAAAATGAAATCTGTGCATAGTTTTTTTTTCCAGAATATGCATTTCCATGAACTTTTTGAAGATCTCATATACTCTAGGGACATATACAAAGATAAGCATTTGCACACTGATGGTATTATTATCTGAAAACTATCTAGGGGTGTGTGTGGGCGGCTAAATGAATATGGTCGAATCTAAGAGTTAAAGTGCTGAGTAGGAAAAAAACATGATGCAGAAAGGATAAAAAGGAAATTATACATGAGATTTCTCTTTTTTAAAGATTTATTTATTTGAAAGGCAGAGTTACAGAGAGGCAGCGGCAGAAAGAGAGAGAGAGAGGTCTTCCCTCCACTGATTCGCTCCCTAAATGGCCAGAGCTGGGCTGATCCAAAGCCAGGATCCAGGAGCTTCTGGGTCTTCCACACAGGTGCAGGGGCACAAGCACTTGGGACATCTTCTGCTTTTCCAGGCCATGGCAGAGAGCTAAATCAGAAGTGGAGCAGCCAGAATTTGAACTGGCGCCCATATGGGATACTGGCACTCTAGGTGGCGGCTTTAGCTGCTATGCCACAGCGCCAGCCCCTTCAATGAGTTTTAAAATAAGATTGGGGTCCAGTGCTTGCATCCCATATGGGCACCGGTTCAAGTCCCAGCGGCTCCACTTCAGATCCAGCTCTCTGCTATGGCCTGGGAAAACAGCAGAAGATGGCCCAAGTGCTTGGGCCTTTGCACCTGTGTGGGAGACCCATAAGAAGCTCCTGGCTCCTGGCTTTGGATCAGTGCAGCTCTGGCCATTTCGGCCATTTGGGGAGTGAACCAGCTGATGGAAGACTCTCTGCATCTGCCTCTCTGTAACTCTTCCTTTCAAATAAATAAAAAAGCCTTAAAAAAGAACTTGCCCTTCATACCAACCTTCAGACTGAGCTGCCGCGCACATTGCCGTGCTGCTGTGAACCAAACCCAGCCCGTTCACTGCTCAGGGTGTGGCCTCTGCAGAGCGAATCACATCGGATCCCAGGCCTTTGCTGAGGTGCAGGGCACTCACTGAAAACCACAGATTTGGACCCCTAATAACTCCATTCAAAACAAAATAGCTACAAATAACTCTTTGCTTTTGGCCATGGTATGGGACATTTTTTGTACCAGATAAAATATTGGCCGGCGCCGCGGCTCACTAGGCTAATCCTCCGCCTTGCGGCGCCAGTACACCGGGTTCTAGTCCCAGTCGGGGCGCCGGATTCTGTCCCAGTTGCCCCTCTTCCAGGCCAGCTCTCTGCTGTGGCCAGGGAGTACAGTGGAGGATGGCCCAAGTGTTTGGGCCCTGCACCCCATGGGAGACCAGGAGAAGCACCTGGCTCCTGCCATCAGATCAGCGCGGTGCGCCGGTCGCGGCGGCCATTGGAGGGTGAACCAACGGCAAAAGGAAGACCTTTCTCTCTGTCTCTCTCTCTCACTGTCCACTCTGCCTGTCAAAAAAAAAAAAAAAGTCATTAAAAGAAGCTTTTTAGTCTTAAGCAGACTGAAAATAAACCACAACACCAAACAGTAGAAAGTAAGCCCAAATGTGAGTTTTATGAGCTTCAGACTCCACCCCATCTCGTGTGCTGTCCCCAGTGGCAGAGGGGCAGGGCTGGGGGTGGAGTGTGAGAGGCAGGTTTCCTTTGGCTTTGGTAAAGGTCGCATGTTGAATGGCCTGGGAATACTTGAAACTAGAAGACGATGGAGGCAGCGAGCGGTCTTTTTCGTGTGTTCCCTCTCCCACCAGGCCTGTCTCAGCCCTCCTCCCTCTGCACTTCCTCCTTCCCGATCCTGCCTTGTTCTGTCCTAGAACTCTTGGGACTATGTTACTGCAGGGAGATAGAAGCAAAGGGCCTGGGCCTTTGCGTCAGCAAAAACCTGGGCCCCGAGGCCACTCATTCAACCTGAGACAGTCTGTAGAGCAGTGGTGGATGATGGGAATGTTCTAGATCCACAAGGTCTGCTCTCACATGTGATTACTAAGCATTGGAAATGCAGTAGTGTGACTGACAAACTGGCTTATGTTGTTGTTTTTAGAGGCAAGCAGAGACAGGGCTCTCCCATCAACTGGATCACTCTCCAAATGCCTGCATGGCTGTGGCTGGGCCAGGAGCCCGTACCTCAATCCAGGTCTCCCACGTGGGTGGGGAGCAGGCACCTGGCTACCTGAGCCATCACTGCTGCCTCCCAGGATCTGCACTGGCAGGGAGCTGGCGCCAGGAATCCAACTCAGGTGCTCTGACAGGGAATGTGGGCACTTAACCACTGGGCTGACCACCCGCTCTGTAGCTTGACGTTTAATTGTATTTAACTTTGGTTAACCTAAATAGCCACATCACCAATGGTGACCACACTGGATAAAGCGAGACAAAAACACGGAAGATGTGCATGTGAAAATGGGCGTGAGATACTCCAGGCTGAAGCTGTACTACAGAACTGTGTCCTGCCTGGAAAGACTGTCATGGCAGTCTGGAAACACACCCATGGTGCTGTGTGATCTTGGGCCTGCTGGGCCTGGCACCGCCCCGGGAGCACGCCACTGTGCCCGAGGGCGCCCCTCAACACAGCCAGCGGGGAGCAAGTTTGCTCCTTCTCTCTTTTTTTATCCTATGTCAATTAAGCAGCCACATTTTCAGAAGCCCACACTTTAATTGAATTCTTATGTGACACTATTTGATGTTTCCTTAATAACTTTCTAGATAGAAAATAGTTATTTTCTCCAGTTAAACTAGTTGTATCGTTAGGCATCAATTGCTTTAAGCTAGGGAGACAACCTGTCTGCATTTTGAAACCACAAATCAAGCAACAACAATCTTATTTTTAGTTTTTATTACAGTAAAAGCTACCACTATAAAACACTGGTGATTTTGGCCTATATCTTCTTTTCCTTTTGGCTTTAAAAGAGTTTACATTATTTATAAAACAAATTATTATTTTGATTGTACATACTTTTTTTCTGATCCTTGGAACATTACAGTTTCAAGTAACTAAAAAATAAACACTGCAGACTAAATGTACTAGTAAGTACATACTGACCACATTTCATTACCACAGTCACTAAAAAGCCCTGATCTTTACTTCTGCAGATTCAGTCATGAACGTGAAGTCACTCGGGAGTCTCGGGGATTTCTCTGTTGTCCACGATGAGCGTGTGAATAATCCCTTCCTTCCGCTTCCCACTGCTCACCGCCTTTATGTAACAGTCATGATTGCCGAAGCTGAAGTGTGTCTCAGTCCCATCGTCCACAAATTCTCCCTGCGTCAACAAAAGAGGAGTCAGTGTCCGGAGCAGTCCCCTCTGTCTGCAGCATTCACACCAGCTAAATTCACGGCAATAAGGAAGTAACGTGCCAGCTGCTGTTAAGCCGTGCAAAATGAAAGCTATTTTAGATGCACTTGCATTTTGGTTCTGAACTCCACGCTTCTTTTTATAACTCCTACAGTCCTTAGCCATTTTAGGCTTCGTGGGGGAACAGTACACCTGCTGGCTGTGCGTGTCTAACAAGTGATAAGCATGGTTACTTAAGTACATGAGGAACAGTTGCTCTGCCTTATTCCACTGCCTCCTCAGTCACGCTGACAGGGCATCACTAACCCAAGTGACAGGAGAGGAAACTGAGGGACAGAGTGGTCTAGGAGCTTGCGGGAGGCCCCCGTCAGTGCGGGCGGAAGTGTTCTCAACTGCTCTGAAACCCACGAGCTCTGATGGGGCTTACCATAGGACACACAGGGTGGAAGACTCCGTATGAAACAAAGGATGTAAAACAACTCAGGAAGAGCTCTTACCATTGTTTACATATAACATGGTAGTATTTGTGGTACAATGATTTAAAGTTAACTTCACCTTAATCATTTTATAATGTGGCCACGAGAAAAGCTAAAACTGCATGTGACACCCAGAAGGGCATCTGTGGCTGGTATGTGGCACTTCAAAAAGTTTGTGGAAAATGGCAAAATTTGTTGAAATCCATGCATACAAGGGATCTTTAAAAAGTTCACGAAAACGTATTATGAAAAAAATGTGCACAGATTTCAGATTTTAACCAAAGTAAACTCATCTGCTTCTTGTGATCTTTTCTCTCTTTTGACAGGCAGAGTGGACAGTGAGAGAGAGAGACAGAGAGAAAGGTCTTCCTTTTGCCGTTGGTTCACCCTCCAATGGCCGCCGCGGCCGGCGCGCTGCGGCCGGCGCACCGCGCTGATCCGATGGCAGGAGCCAGGAGCCAGGTGCTTTTCCTGGTCTCCCATGGGGTGCAGGACCCAAGCACCTGGGCCATCCTCCACTGCACTCCCTGGCCACAGCAGAGGGCTGGCCTGGAAGAGGGGCAACCGGGACAGAATCCGGCGCCCCGACCGGGACTAGAACCCGGTGTGCCGGCGCCGCTAGGCGGAGGATTAGCCTAGTGAGCCGCGGCGCCGGCCCAGTAAACTCATCTTTTAATTCACTTTCCACAAGCTTTGTGAAGTGCCCTCGTGTCCTCTGAGTATTCCTGTTGAACTCACTGCTCTAGAGTAAAAAAGCTAAGAGCCACGTGGAACAGACCAGGAAGGAAGAAGGGGTTAGAGGATGAAAACGAACTATGCCAGAAAGCACCATAACCACACTCAGGCTTACACCGTGGCTCCGCGCTTCCTGGCGGCTGCAGCAGATCCAACTGGGTCCTGCTGGTAACAGCATCGCACTAAGCACAGCACCGAGGCATCTGGAGGGCAGCTTCACCAGCTCGGCAGAGCAGCCAGGGCACCGGCTCCACCGGCAGTGCGCCCCGAGTGCTGGCTGCGCCGCGCCCTTGGAGGGCAGGGCAGGAGCAGGGTAATCCCCGGAGCGGCTTGGGAATTTGTCAGATACATCATTTGGGTCATGATGCTTTGAGATGAAAAGGAAAAAGGAGAAAAGGCAGCGAGGAGGGCAGTGTGTCGTGGGTGTGTGCGGCAGCGGGGAGGCCGCCCAACCGCCCTGCGAACCAGGTTGCAGGTACAGGGAGAGGCGAGGAGGTTCAGTGGAGCTGTTTCCCAAATACTTGTGCTTTGCTGTCAGTCACTGAGGAACAAAGACATGGGGAGCCAACAGCATTTCCAGCTTGTCTACTCCTTTACCACTGTGCTCATATTCTCTCCACATTCGCTCTGCAGAATTCTGTGAGGGTGTGAGGGTCTGTGAGTCCACCTAGAGAATTCCAGGCGAGGTAAGAAGGGCCAGGAAAAATTGCTAGGTGCAGTGTCTGGCACCCAGCAGGCCCTGGCCATGTGAACGGTACCTGAAGCTGTTCCACAGAGGGCTGGAAAGCGCTGGTGGACTCCCCAGCCTCTCTGCCTGCAAGAAGCCTCCATCCATGGGTGTAACTGAGACAGGATTCATACACTGGGGATCAATGCTTTTTAAAAGATTTATTGATTGAATTGAGAGGCAGAGAGAGAGAGAGAGAGAGAGAGAGAGAGAGGTCTTCCATCCACTGGTTTACTCCCCCAAATGGTCTCAGTGGCTAGAGCTGGGCTGATCTGAAGCCAGGAGCCAGGAGCTTCTTCCAGGTCTCCCATGTAGGTACAGGGGCCCAAGCACTTGGGCCATCTTCTACTGCTTTCCCAGGCCATAGCAGAGAGCTGGATCGGAAGTAGAGCAGCTGGGACTCAAACTGGCTCCCATATGGGATGCCGGCACTGTAGGTGGCAGCCTCGCCTGCCATGCCATGGCATTGGCTCCAGGGATCAATTTTGACTAAGTGAATTTAGGTGCAATTTCCCTTCAAGCTTTAGTAGGAAGCTTAGGAAATAGAAAACCATTCCTGGCCAGCGCTGTGGCTCAATAGGCTAATCCTCTGCCTGTGGCGCCGGCACCCTGGGTTCTAGTCCTGGTCGGGGTGCCAGATTCTGTCCTGGTTGCTCCTCTTCCAGTCCAGCTCTTTGCTGTGGCCCAGGAAGGCAGTGAAGGATGGCCCAAGTGCTTGGGCCCTGCACCCCATGGGAGACCACGAGAAGTACCTGGCTCCTGGCTTCGGATTGGCATGGCACTGGCCGTAGCGGCCATTTGGGGGGTGAACCAATGGAAGGAAGACCTTTCTCTCTCTGTCTCTCTCTCTCACTAACTCTACCTGTCAGAAAAAAAAAAAAAAGCATTCCTCTTTGGGGCTGGTGCTGTGGCATAGTGGGTAAAGTTGCTGCCTGTGATGCCAGCAACCAATATGGGCACCAGTTTGTGTCCTGGCTGCTCCACTTCCTAACCAGCTCCCTGCTAATGGCCTGGGAAAGCAGTGAAGATGGTCCAAGTGTTTGGTCCCTTGCTACCAACATGGAAGACCCAGATGAAACTCCTGGCTTTGGGCCTGGCCATTGCAGCCATCTAGGGAGTGAACCAGCAGATGGAAGCACTCTCTCTTTCAAATAAATAATTTCTTTTAAAAAAAAAAAAGCAGCATTCATCTTGGTAAATCTCCAGTTCTGGCTCTGGCACCTCCTCAGAAGAGAGTGCCAAAGGACCATGCAGACGTGGGCGGCCTGTGGAATACAGTCCATGCCCTGCATGGCTCCCTGCAAGCGCCTCTCCTCACCATCTGGGCCACGTTCAATGAGAGAGAACGGCAGCAACGATGATATGTCGCAGGCTAAAACATGTCCAGAGAAGACAGCTTCTGCCATCTCCAGCCGGGGGAGCACGGCTGCAGCCTGCTTGGAGGGCAGGGCCTGGGGATGGTACGCCCGCTTGGCCCAGATTTCCTAGACCCACACTCACCGCTTTCCGGGATGGTCTCGCAGCTTCCCCCGCTCCCTGCGCACACCGCTAGTACTTGTTCCTTCTTGGTGGTCACTCGTATTTTCACCCCACCCACAGTCATGGCAATGCGAGCATGGGATTTCAGCATGCTTGGCAGCGTGGCAGGTGCAGCCTCTTCCGCCCCGCCTTGGCACTGCTGGTCTCCAAGCTCCGTTTGTCTTCTGGGCTTTGTGCCTTTCCCTGGCTGCCTGAGTGTCCGGTAATCCTAGGTGCGCCACATGTAGGGAGGCACCACGTACACTGGGTGTATGGTGCGATGCCTTCCTCCTCCCAGGGCGGGCTGTGTGCAGCAGCAGGGATGGCACCGCACTGTAGCGAGGCCCCAGGGGGTTTCGATGCTTGCACGTTCAATAAGGAGCAGAATAAAGCAGCACTCACCACGCATAAACAGAGGAGGATGTCCACTTTGGAAGGTGACATTTTCAAATTTTCCTTTTTTTTAACATGGGGACTCTTTAGGATTCAGCCAGGTCCAGGAGAGGAAAGGGCAGAGTGTGAGGCTGGTGCCAGCTCCTCATCCTCAAACTCTCACTGCCCCAGGCCCTGTCTCAGAAAGGTTTTCAGAATTTGCTGTCAGGAGTACTTACTCTCTCCTTTGTTTTGACCAAGAAGACCTTGGTTAATCATACAATCTCCATAATAAGGAAACACAGCAATACTTCGAGGGTAACTTAGACACACGCACCAAGAGTAATCAAAAGGTCAACTTACTGCTGTCTCCATTTTTTTACCATTGCACCACACATCCATAGTGTCTTTTTCTGTAAAGATAACAAAATTTGAGTTAGAATTCTATGAGTAACTTTCCGTGCTTAATATTCCAGGAAGTTAGACATGTTGGATTCCTATCAGTATTCTAAAACTCAGCGGTTGTTCATGGGGTGGAAACTCCCCCAAATTTAAAGGAACTGTGCTTATTTTTTGTTCACAGACTGAACCAACTGAAATGAAACAAAATAATATTACACAGAAAGCCATGGTGCCAATCAAACTTTAGTCTTGTTAAAAATAATAACAGAGGGAACCATTTAGAGGAGGAGACACACAAGTGAATGTGAGGAGGGGCCTCTTCCAGCATCGGTGACCACACACAGCCCCGCTCCCGCCTGAACCCAGGACAGTGGCGCAGAGGGACCGCCTGCCATGGCTGCCGCACGGCTCGAGCGGGACAGACAGCATGTCGGGTTTAAGATTTAGTCTCCAGTTTCTTACCAAATAGCACGATAATCTCTATTCATCTTGGTAACTTTTTTTTTTACTTCTAATTTTATTTGAAAGGCAGAGAAACAGAGAAAGAGATCTCTCGTCTGCTGATTTATTCCCCAAATGCCCACAACACTCAGGGCTGGGCCACGCTGAAGCCAGGAACCCGGAACTTCATCTGTTTCCCGGATGGCAGGGACCCAAGTAGTGAGCCATCGTGTGCTGCCTCCCAGGGCGTGCGGCTGCAGGGAGCTGGATGGGAAGTGGGGCAGCCAGGACTTGAACCGGCGCTCCACTACGGGTGTGGGTGCCCAAAGTCTGCCCTCGGTTCATTTGTATGATGGCTTTGCTTTGTTAGCGGATCATAAGGACAAAACAGGTACAGCTGGTGGACCACATGATCTGGAGCAAAAGCAGCCACGACACACTGCCCACCTCACTGGGCAAACCCCAGAGCCCCATCATAACGGTAGTGCCCTGGGGAGCGACAGGAGAGGACTGCACTCACAAAGGAGCCAGCAGATGAGCTATGGAGATTTACTAAAGGAGAGTGAGGAGCACGACCTCGATGCACACGAGTCGTTCAGGGGCCAGACACCTGCAAGGGGGTCCCGGGAGCAGTCAGGGCCTCGCCTCCAGCAGGCTGCCCCAGGGCCGACAGGGGATGCTGTTCTCCCTACCCCTTCAGACGGGAGCCTCACGTACACGGTAGACAGTCTTCTGAGTGCGCTAGAAGGAAAGAAAGGCCTACAGACTCAGGAGATAGGGGCGTGGGTCACCCTGCAGGCAGCCTGAGGGCTGTGGCTGTACAGACACCTAGTTGTCCCTGTGTGTGTGAGAGTGCACAGTGCTCAAAGCAGAACAGCGGTGACGCTGCACCTTACTCAGCGAGCCTACTGACCTGTGCATGCGCTCAGGTCTTCGCTGATAGCTTACTGTCAAGCCTCACAAGAGCCGTGAATCTAGAAGCCAAAAAGAAAAATTAACAGACTTGACTACATACAACTAGAGAAAAAAAAACCTTCTGCCTGACAGGCAGGAACCATGCACAGAGGTGGGTGGCTGGACCAACCGTCAAGACACCCCCGCACACACACACAGATCCGAGTGCCTGGGTTTCATACCCAGCTCTGGCCCCCGGTTCCAGTTTCCTGCCAGTGCAGACCCTGGGAGGCAACAGTGCTGGCTGCAGTAGTTGGCTCCTGCCGCCCACACGGGAGCCGGGCCTGTGTCCCGTCACCGCAGCCCTGGTGTGCTTGCTTTCCCTCTGCCGCTTTATTTTCCTCCCCTGGTGTTCAGGGTGTGGTGACTACAAATGCCAACCAACTCTGTCTCTGTCCCTTAGACGCCTCACGTTCGTGGGGTGGTGAAAAAGAGCAGACAAGAGCTCTGGGGTCAGACCCCAGGTTCTCGAACCCCTGCTTGCAGTGCCCTCCAGGAAATCACCTCCGCTCTGAACCCCCGCTCCTCACCCTTGGTGGAGACACCGCCACTGTTCTTTCAGGCTGTTTTAGCGCTAGGGACCATTTGCCCAGTGCCTAGTGCGATATCTGGCCCCGAAAAGAGCTTTAGTAAATCATGCTTTTGCTATTAGAAGTTTTTTCTCGTTCTGTTACAACTTCCCAATGTAAAATTTAAGACGTTAAATAATACTGTAATATGAAGCTGGTCACATAATACAACAAGTGACTTTTACCACAAGGCCTTAAATAAGCCCATTCTTTTTCCATACTGAACAGGAACAATGGAAAATAGTATTTTTAAAGAATTCACTGAGAAATACTGATAAGCATTTTATATGTACAAACTTAACTGTATGATGATATTGGCTAAGGAGCTGATTAAGTGCCTAAAATTACCTGAAAGACTTAGTTTCATCACCTGTAGAAGCTCCATGTGTTCAAACGCGTTGGCACTTTGCTTATCCTTTCAAAACTAAAATTTCCATTAAGTACGTAATCAGATATGTTGGTTCTAAAACTTTATTGTAGAGTGAGTCACTACATTCCTAACCAGTGCACTGTGAAATCTGAAAAGATAACGCATGAGATGAGCTCCAAAAAGCTCCAGAAAGAAAAAAATGAGATTGAGACTGGCGTCAAACCTCTCATTTACAAAAATGAAGCCCAGCAGACACCAGAACGGGGGCTCTCAAAAATTCTAAGGAAATGATTTTGAAATTAAAACTCTGCACTCAACAAAAGTACCATGTGGGGCTGAGGTCCCAGTGTTTCTGTCCTAGACAAGTCCCTAGGAAATGACCCCGGGGGTATTCCAGCCACCAAAGAGGGACCTGGGAGTCACAGGGTTGCGTAATGGGAGGGACTGAGGAGCGGGGTGAGGGAGAGCCAGCACACCTAGAACCCACCTACTTCTGAAGAGGAAGGCAACAGACACTGAGAATATCTATGTCAAGAATGAAAAGAATTGCACGCAGTAGAGAATGTGGGTAAAATGCTAACAGATACTTAGACCTTGACTTGGATGACTCTGATCAGATGCAGTCCTAAGCCTCCTGTTGCCTAGAGAGAAATTACTCTAACTGAGGAACCTTAAATTTTCAACTGAAGACACACTTTACAAACACAACTACTAAGTAGTATCAAATGCATATATCAATCAGACTTCCATAGAACTTCAGTTTATAATCCTCAAATCATCACTATAAAACGTGGCTCTAAATATTGTGGATTAAATGAACACTTCATTCACACAGTACACATCAGAAATAAACCTGCACTTACATTCTCTTTCCTAGTCAAAATTCCAATCAAAGTCTGGATAGTTAGAGAAACTAATTAAACTCCCATCATAAAAAGTCAGTAAGGGGGCCAGAACTGTGGTATAGTGGGTAAAGCCACCACCTGCAGTGCCAGCATCCCATATGGGAGCCGGTTTAAGTCCCAGCTGCTCCACTTATAATCCAGCTCTCTGCTGTGGCCTGGGGAAGCAGCAGAAAATGGCCCCAGTGCTTGGGCCCCTGCACCTGCGTGGGAGACCTGGAAGAAGCACCTGACTCCTGGCTTCAGTGGCCCAGCTCTGGCCATCGTGGCCATCTGGGGAATGTGGCCATTTGAGGAATGAAACAGTGGATGGAAGCCCTCTTTCCCTCTCTCTGCCTCTCTCTGTAACTCTGCCTTTCAAATAAGTAAAACAATCTTTAAGAGAAAAGTCAGTTCTATAGGAACAGCGTTAACTTACCCAAAACAACTCTACAGTCCTCACCATCCAAGTGTAGCACCCACGTGTGGGTGGTTTTTGATCTGTTCTCCATATACTTCTTGAGACTTTTCCCATTAATCTCCAGAGTATACTCATAAGCAAAACCACTGACAGCATCTATATTTATGGTTGCTTTCGTCTTTGCAGCTCCAACACAGAAGGTTTCTTTGCCCACTAATTTGAACATCCATTCTTTTCTTATCTCTTCCTAGGTAACAGAATATAAATGTGTAAAACACACAATACAGGAAAAAGCAGTGTTTAATTTTAGAAAGAATGTAATTAAAGTGATCAAATGGCAATACTATAAGAAGTATATTTATTAACTCATGATGCCAGAGTTTTAGGAAATAAAGGCATTTGCAGGCAGGTGTTCAGCCTAGCAGTTAAGATGCTGGTTAGGAAGCTTTCATCCCGCGCTGGAGTAGCTGGGTTCGATACGCAGCCCCAGCTCCTGACTCCAGCTTCCTACTCATGTAGTCCCCAGGAGGCAGCAGGTGACTGGTTCGGTGCCACCCATGTGGGAGACCTGGAATAAGTCCTCAGCTCTCAGCTTTGGCTAGCCCAGCCCTGCCCTGGGCATTCAGAGTGAGCCAGCAAATGGTAGCTCTTTTTCTGTCTGCTTCACAAATACACAAATAATTTTTAAAAAAGAAAGACATTTTAAGTTTAGACATTAGATGTTACATTCTATGACTTCTATAATTATTATTAGTTTACTTTTTACAGCAAAATGATACAGGCCAAAAACATAAAGGTAACCACTGTTAAGAAAAAATCCTGAATCCACAAACAAAACAAAACCAAGCTTCTCTGCATATATTTCACAAAGTAGCAAATTTTCTTCCTACCTTCCCATCTACATACACTACTCGTTTGCCTGATGTGGTGCCATGTTCAAATTCAATCTTGTGGATTCCGTCACTTAAAGCAACATCCCAAACAGCTACAAGATCTGTCATTTTTTCCAGGCTAGAAGGAGGACTAAAGGAATAAAATAAAGCCATTATAATGGGCCAAAACCAATAACAGGACAAACATTCCTTCCAAGATGAGACTATGTTTATAACCCCTAAAACTATAAAATATTACAGTGGCATTATCTAAGAAATCCTACTCACAGCACATGTAACTATTTCTCCCTGTCATTCACTCTGCCTTTAAGAGATAACTACTATGTATGGGTGTATAGTCGGATAATTCCAAACAAAGTCACCTTACAATTAATAGGATTACGACTATCAGTTTATTCTGGACAGTCCTCTGGGCTAGGCTACAACAGAGCACATGGAAACATCAGTAAAAAATCTCCACTCTATCCCTCACCCCTCCCTCCCATCCCATTTAAAAAACAGTGTCCAATTTAGTTTTTTCATTTTCATATCCAATCACTCCCCAAAAAAAGAACTTTCCAAACATTCCAAACTTAAACTAATGGTTAGGGATTCATTTTAACAAAATGAGTTCCAACTTATTATATTAAGACTGAGGGAAAAAAGCTGAGGAAAAAGAAAAAGCAGTCATGGGAGAAATGTCCTACTGCAGAGATAAAACTACTACAAAAAATGTTTTGGGAAAAAATATTAACTCCTGGCAGTACTATAAAATTACTTTTGAAAAACAAAGGATTCAGGGTTGTCAGACATTTCTTGGCTAGGGCAGGTGTTTGGCCTGGTGGGCAAGACGCTGGTTAACGCTTGGGTCCTGCACTGGAAAACCTGGGTTTGATGCCTCTCTCTGCCTCCTGACTCCAGCTTCCTGCTAATGCAGACCCGGGGAGGCAGCAGGGGATGACCAAGTGATTGGATCCCTGCCAGCCACGAGGGAGATCTAGACTGAGTTCCCAGCTCCCAGCTTCGGTCTGGCCCCGCCCCGGCTGTTGCAGGCATTTGGGACATGAGCCACAGATGAGAACGAGCTCTTCCGTCTGTCTCTCAAATGGGAAAAAAATCATGGCACAACTAGATCACATATTATTGACATGAATATTTTTACATGAAATACATGTGTCCTCTGTGAATGATGTATTATATATAATACATATATAATTAGCACCATGATACCGATAGGGAGCTTTAGCTTTGAAAGAAGTAACATGATTACAGTAATCATGACCACAGCTACTAAGAGCCTACTGAGTCCCAGTCCTGACCAAGAGCTCTCCATATACGAACTCACGATGGGGATGATTAGTCTCTTTATATCACAGAAGAGGCTCAGAGAGACCAAGGGCCTGCCTGAGGTCACAATGACACCAAGCGCGAGACAGGATATAAACTAGGGACACTGGCTCCACAGCCTGCTCTTTTAACTCTCTCTTCCGCTTTGTTTACACTGCCCTACCTTGTATGCTCTAAGTCACATATAAAGTCAGCACATCTTAAGGTCACTGTGAACTAGTTCCCAAGACCTTTGTGCTGACGGGGATCTGGAGCCCTCACAGGAAGATTCTACAGGTGCCACATAGGTAACTGGCACCTCCAGGCAAGGGACTGAGTGCTGCTCTAAATCGTAATAAAACAGAGCCAAGCATTCTGCAGTTCTACAATATGTGTCCTTAATAGAGTAGCCTGCATAAATAACTCTGCTGAACGATCATAACAATCTCAAGAATTGCAAAGGCTAGTTTTATCACAATGCAAGACATTTACCTTTCATCATCTTCAAAGATAGGACTGTCATCTCCAGATGCCATGGCTGGCAGAACAGTCTTTAATCCAATTAGCAGCCAGGAAAGGAAAAAAGCAGAATTGCGGCAGAGAAAGGTTGAGAGCAACAGAGATGATATCTACTACAAAGGATTTTGCTAACTTTGCAATCCATTTCTTAAATTGCATGCAATTTCTGATGAAACAGCTTTTACATACAACAGAACTGCAGTCTTTAATTTTCAGAGAAAGAAGTTAAATCATGCAATCAGCCAATTATATTTTTCTAATTTCTTAACACGAGAGAATAGACTCCAGTTTGCTTCTAGTATTGCCGCGGATCAGAGCTTCGGGAGGCCTAATGAGTCCTCTGGGTCCCAGGCTTCCCAGAGCGAAGCACAAGAAACCCCAAGGTGTGAGGCAGTGGGTCAGGGGATACGCAAAACTCCAAGACGAACATGGTGCATCTTCCAGGAGGATTAAGGTTACAGGGTGCTACGAATTTAGAACGTAATCTTTATACTAAATTTTAGAAGATTAAGATGCAATTTTTAATTTCAACTTTAGATAACTTCAAAGAAACGCTAAGTCTGCAGGAAGCAGCCAGGGATTGCAGGAAGCTGGTTCCCTCCCTAAGAGCAATCTTCATTTTTCACTTACACTCCTTTAATTTACTAGTGCCAATAATAATAGCCACAAAAGTCCTATTGCTTGTTCAGGTCATTAGCAGGGACCAAGCCAGAATTGCCACCCAGCACCATGCAATGAACTAAACAGTAACTGAGCTGCAATGCTAAGTTTTGCTAAAATCAGAAGCACACACATGTTCACATGCACAGGATACCTTCCACATTTGAAGATTTGATAGTTAACAGTGGCACCCTTGCCAAACTATCAGAAATTCAATGACTTTTTGCTCCCAAGATCTTTAAAAAGTATATTTTCCCTATAAATGTAAATAGTTCTCTCCAAATTAAAAATGGGAGATAGGGGGCCAGTGCTGTGGCACAGCGAGTTAAAGCCCCTGCCTGCAGTGCCCGCATCCCATATGTGCTGCTCCTTTTCCGATCCAGCTCCCTGCTAATGTGCCTGGGAAAGCAGTGGAAGATGGCCCAAGCCCTTGGGCCCCTGCACCCATGTGGCAGACCAAGAAGAAGCTCCTGGCTCCTGGCTTTGGATTGGCTGAGCTCCAGACAATGCAGCCATTTGGGGAGCAAAACCAGCGGATGGAAGACCTCTCTCTCTCTCTCTCTCTCTCTGTCTCTGCCTCTGTCTCTACCTCTCTAACTCTTTCAAATACATAAAAATAAAGCTTTTTAAAAAAAAAAAAATGGGAGATTGCCAACCATCTCTGGCTAGAAGCAGCCAAAAATCATAAATTGTTAAAAATGTTACAGAAGACATTAGCACCTATAAAAACAACACAATGGGGAAAGAAAAGCTAAGAATTTCAGAATGAAAACTAGGTAACAATTTGTACTTAAAATAAATCTCTCCTTTTTAGATTAGCACCACAGAAATTTATGAAATTTTCAAGTCTTAAGAAGCTCTGGGATATTCCCTATGAAACTGGAGGGTATTCTGCAACTCTAAAAGCAAAAATAATTCACAGCAATAGAATAAGCCAAACAGCACAACACACACTTTGATAAGGCATCGTTTGTAAATCCAAAGGTTTTTAGGAGTCTCATTCAAGTTTTGCTCTCAACTTTTAAAAACTCTAGAAAGTTTAGTAATGTAGCATTCAAACCTGAAAGAACTGCCTCATTTTCTGTTATAAAGAACTTCAAATATTACTAAATCACACTGAGGTAAAATATGGAATCATCTTAATTACAATACCTTTTCCTATATAAGTATAAAAGACAATAAATTGGAAGAGAAGTTACAAATCAAGATCACATTCTATTTTCAAAAAATGTCTCTATCAATGTTCATTCATACATTTAGCAACTATTTGTGAACTAAAAAGTGGCAATTTTTCATTCTTCAACAATCTATAGTATATAGTCAGAAAAGAATTGGACAGGCTATGGCTTAAATATGATTTGGACCCTGAACTCATAACACATGCAGGAGTTTAAACCCCCAAATCCTAAGTTAATGGTACTGAGGGTAGAAACTTAATGCACTTACAGCATTAGATATGGGGCCTCTGGGAGAGTGGCTAAGATTATATTAGGTCATTAGGATAGAGCTTTCTTGATTGGATCCTGGTGGCTCTACAAGGAGAGATCTGTCTATCTATCGATTGCCATGTGATGCCCTACAGACTGGTGACAGCAATCACCAGATGCTGAATCAGCAGAGCCCACCTGATCTTGGACTGTGAACCTCCAGGATGGTGAGCCAAAATAATCTTTTTTTTTTTTTTTTTTGGACAAAGTTAGCCTTCCTCAGGTACTGTGTTATAGTGATGAAAATCTGACTGATATTAAATGGTCAGAATAAGTGCTGATGTAATTATCTGGCAAATTTGAAGCAATCCAATTCCACTTATAGTTGTATATGTCAAAGTTGATGTTTCTGCTTAAAATGCACATTCACAAACCAACATAAACTTGTTACTCTTTTTCAATAGACCTGATTAAATAAGAAAAAGACTGCTTTAACACAGTGGTATTTCAATTTTTCTTGTCCATGTTATTCATTATTTTAAGCAAAAGACTCCAAACATTTTATAAATAAAAATAATTGTAAAATGCAATTATTCCTAGGAACCACAGCATATTTGGCCTATAAAACACTGCAATGCTTCAAATTTTGTAGTTTTCAAAGACAGAGGTTAACTGTAAAAAAGTGCTTCCTATGCAAGGATTAAAGTGAGCACTCTCTTATAACAGTCATAACCAAAACAGGAGACAGCCATACAATTTTCAGCTTTGGAAAAAGAAAACAAAAAGAAAAAACAAATAAATGACCCCATCTGGCTTCTCTCGCTCATTATAGGGAAACCAAATGAACAAGACACGCCTCTAAATGCTATCCCCACAGCCAGTTCTGGCCTCTGCTCATCCATCCAACCACCTTAAAAGGCTGGCCAAGGCATCAGAGTAAAGACAATGTTCCACGTGACCCCAACATGAAGAGTAATCCCCACTAGGGCCAGTGTTATGGCATAGCCACTGTTTGTGACACCGGCATCCCATACTGGTGCCTGTCCCGAGTCCCGGCTACTCCACTTCCGATCCAGCTCCCTGCTGATATGCCTGGGAAGGCAGCAGAAGACACCACCTGCACCCATGTGGGAGACCAGGATGAAGCTCCTGGCTTGGCTGCCTGGTCCAGCCCAGGCTGTTGCAGCCATTTGGGGAGAGTGAACCAGGAGACAGAAGATCTCTCTCTCCCTCTTTCTCTCTCTCTCTCTTTCTGTAACTCTACCTTTCAAAGCAGCAGAATATGGCCCACGAGTTTGGGCCCCTGCCACTCATGTGGGAGACATGGGTGAAGCACCTGGCTTCGGCCTGGCCCAGTGCTGGCTGTTGCAGCCGTCTGGGGAGTGAACCAACAGATGGAAGATCTCTCTGTAATTCTTTTAAAATAAATAAATAAATCTTTTAAAAGAGAGAATGCGCTCACATAAAAAACCCAGCTTAGGTCCTTGGTAACTGGAGGCTTCTCTGTCCACACACAGCAACACCAGCCTGCACGAGCAGCATCCATTCATTCAGCAAGTGGTTAAACACTAAGTGTCCTGAAAGCGCTCCAAAGTCAATACCTGTTTTTAAAAATTCTCTACGGTTTGGGATGATTTGCGATTGCTATGCTTCATTTTCCCAAGAGGAGGTGTACCTTCACAACAAAAGTTTTCTTATGATACACATCCAGTCTTGTTATCAAAAGACACTGCACTAAGTACTGTCAGCAACTTGAAGAACAGGCTTCTGTCCTTAAAGAATTCCTGCATTTCAAGTGTGTTCAGTCAACATAAGAACTGGGTGATCCTTCCAGGTTCAAAACCTGCTATGGGGTAGATGTTTGGCCTGGTAGCAGAGATGCCCACATCCCGGATATGAGTGCTTGGGTTCAATACACGGCTCCACTCTTGCCTTCAGCTTCCTGCTAATATGAAACCTGGGATGCAGCAGTAATGGCTTGAGTAGTTGGGTTTCTGCCACCATGTTGTAGATTTGTGTTAAGTTCCTGGCGCTGCAGCAAAGCAGGTAAATCCACCCCCTACAGTGCTGGCATCCCATATGGGCACCGGTTCTAGTCCCAGCTGCTCCACTTCTGATCCAGATCTCTGCTATGGCCTGAGAAAGCAGAAGATGGCCCAAGTGTTTGGGCCCCAGCACCCACATGGAAGACCTGGAAGAAGCTCCTGGCTCCTGGCTTTGGATCAACCCAGCTCCAGCTACTGTAGCCATCTGAGGAGTGAACCAGCAGACGGAAGACCAATCTCTCTCTCTCTTCTTACCCCTGCCTCTCTGTAACTCTGCCTTTCAAAATAATAAATAAAAAACAAATCTTTAAAAACAAAAATGTTCTTACTTCCTGGCTTCAGCCCCTAACACAAGACCACAGCAGGCACTGGGGAGTGGGCTAATGAATAGGAGTGCTCACTCATGCTCCCCCCCCCGCCTCTCAAATAATTAAACATTAAAATATTTTTAAAGCTACTACAAAAATATAGTAATTAAAACAGTGTGGTGCTGGTATCAAGACAGAAATATAGACCAATGGGACAGAATCAAGAGTTCAGAAATAAATGCATACATCTATGACCAATATGCCAAGTCTCTTCAGTGAGGAATCACTGCTCTTCAGCAGATGGGATGGGAACTGGATTTCCATGTGCAAAAGAATGGACCTCTCCATCACAGTACATACAAAAGTTATCTCAACACTCAGAAAGGAATTTTTTGTATTTACATCCAACAAGTCCTTTGTTCCGGGAGAAGAAGGAGAGGGTGAGAGAAGAGGTGGGAAGGCAAGACCCATCCCCTTAAAAATCCCAGCCCAAATGTGCACTGGGCACTCTCTCTCAGGTCCTGTCTGGAAAGGTGCCCATCGACCCTAATAAACCTTGCTATTTTGCTTTCCACTGCTCTCTGTCTCATGCCTGAACTCTTTCTTGGGCAAAGACAAGGACCCTTTGCTTCTCCCGTAATATTTCCACTGATGGGGAAGATGCCACCCCCGTTTGGAACTTCTCCAAAAGAAGCCTTTTGAGTATCTCCGACTCACTCATCAGCATGCCCTTTTAAAATCCCTTCCCCAGCTCCTAGGCACCCGGATTTCCGAGTAAGACTTAAAACATCATTACCCCTAGCCTGCACTTCGTCGGTTTTGAGGATGGCAGTGGTTTGTGCAGGCTAAACCTAAGTCACAAAATTTCCTAAGCCGTTTGCTCACGGCTCCTTTTTAGCAAAAGCTCCAGGTGAGGCCATCCCTAAGTCACTACGTCAACAGGTGTGTACCTGGGCCCCGCAAAGTCCGTCTGGGAGCTCCCGGAGCTGGGCAGTCTCCAGGGCGACTTACTGGAGGAACAAAAACGAAAACAACCTTTAGTGCGGGCCAAGTCGCGACGCACCCCGCGCACCTTTTTGGGCATTCCTTCCAAACACACCATCACGCTCAAAACAGAGGGTACAGTGCGCTTCATACGCGCTAAAAACTGAGAACCGCCTCTCGGTTCACCACGAGGGAGGGACTCCACGGAGCAAACCACATTCGAGCCAAAGCCCTCGCCAGGCGCCGGCGAGGGTGCAGCGGTGGCCAGCCTGGCACAGGTCGGGGGCTAACATCCAAAGCCACGGGGATCGCGCCCGAGGAAGAAGCAGGGGTCTGCCGCGTCCTGCCCGCTGGTGTGCGGCGCGAGGAACGGCCATTCGCTTCGCCCCGTCTCTCTGCAGCGACAAGGATTCGCTCCGGAGCTCGCCGACAGGCCGAGGGCTGCTGAGCGCGGGGCCAGGCCGGCCGGGGCCGCCGCCGCGCCCGCCCGCAGCTGGCTCCGTGCCCCGCCGCGTCTCCGCCTCCGCCCGCGGTGCGCGCGAGCCCGGGGCCGCTTCCAGGCCTCAGCCCGGCGGCCGACCAGAAGCGCCCGGAACTCACGGCAGGGGGGCCCGGGCCTCAACAAGAGGTCGATTTTACGGCCCGTCAAGAAAGCCCCCCCGCGCTGCCCCCGGACGGAAAAGAGGGCCCGCGGCCCCGGGGTTCCGGGGGTCCAAGGGGGGGGCTGAGGGGTGCGCGACAGCAGCCGCGAGGGGGGGCGTACCCCGGGAGCGGGGGTCCAACCGCCTGGGGACCCCAGTCTCACCTGAGCGTCGCGGGGCTGCCCGAGGCCCTGGGGCGGCCGCGCCCAGCAGCTGGTTGGCTCCCACTCGGCCGTGTGGCTTCGCGGACGCTGGAGCCGCCGGGCGGGCGCCGAGGGTGAGCGCGCCGGCTCTTTGTCGCGCTCCGGGTCCCCCGGGGCGCCTGGCGCAGCCGCCACGGCCTCCCAGCACCAGAGACCCAGCCCCGCCTGCTGCCCCGGCCGAGGTCGACCTGGCCCGCTCCGCGCTGCCCTTCTTCCTCAGCCCGGAGCCGAACCTGGCAGGTCAAGTCGTGTTCAGGCGGGCACTGGAGATCAACCTGGTGGGCCAGGCAGACTGCAAACTCGAAGCTGGCCGTTGCTCCCTAAAACCGCTTTTGGGGAGTCTCCGGAGAGCTTGAGTTCCAAAGTGGGCACGGTGTCCCACGTGTGATCTAACCTCAGCCCGCCTGGTCGCACTTAGCCCCTTAAATGATGCCAGCCCCTCTCACCGCGGCGCCCCTGCCAATGATCTTCGCGCTGCCTAGGGACCCGGCCTCATTCCTCCCTTGATTAACTTCCGTTTTGTTGTTGCGATTGTTCGCCAAATACCGTTTGTTCGGTTTGTTTGTTTTTTTGTTTTTCAAGGAAGATGATCTTGGACTGGAAAAACCTAGAATTGTCTTTGCTAATCCTTTTCGGAGTGTGCAATCATTTGTGCAATGTTTGCCTATGGTGTAACTTAATAGTTGATTGATAATCAACTATTGTCCATGGCTGCTGGCTCTTACTCTGCACTGTGCAGGCCCACGGTAGCTCTGATAGGTACTGAAGACTGAAGAACAGGCCGGGGTGGTGATGGGGCTCAGGACACACCCCAAAATATGACTAGAAGGCTAGAATGTGACACCCGAAAATACCCTTCCTTGGCCTATTTTGAGCTGATTATTCTGAGAAACTGCAGGCATGATAGTAGCTTTGAAAAGCTGTTCTTTTGTACAAGGAAATTCACATCTCCATAGCAAATGCATCTGTATCCGGAAGAGGGCTGCTCCGAGCTATTTTTTCTTCTTCCTTTTTTAAAAGATTTATTTATTTATTTATTTATTTGAGAAACAGAGAAAGAGAGAGAGAGAGAGAGATCTTCCATCTGCTTGGTTCACTCCCCAAATGGCCACAACAGCCACAGCTGGGCCCATCTGAAGCCAGGAGCTTCTTCCAGGTCTCCCACATGGGCTCAGGGGCCCAAGGACTTGGGCCGTCTTCCACTGCTTTCCCAGGGCCATTAGCAGGGAGCTGGATCAGAAGTTGAGCATCCAGTGATCGAACTGGTGCCCATATGGGATGCAGCACTGCAGGCAGAGGCTTAATCTCCTAAGCCATGGCGCTGACTCCCTGTTTTTGTTTTTGTTTTTGTTTTTGTTTTTTCATCTGCTTAGCTAGAGGACCTTTATTCACCACGCACTGTCTCCCCTCACCTTCCCATAACTTGTGTCACCAACCCCCTGCCCAGAAGCCCAGAGCCCCTATTCCTCTCTGTAGCCTGGGATGCTATGCATGCTTCTCATCTGGTGGGGCCTGGAGTCTCGTATTTTGTGGGACTCCTGTGTGCGTGTATGTAATTAAATAGAGGTTTTCTCGTGTTACACTGTCTTGCATGGATTTAATGGATAGCTCCACCCAAGCACCTAAAAGGGTAGAGGGAAGCCATTTCCCCCTCCCTGCCATGGTATTTTGGGTGCCTGGTTTTCCCTTGAAGGAGGAGGCAGGGTCAGCTGCAGAGAGTGAGAGGCCATCTGAGGAGAGCGGTGAGCCGTCCCTGGAGAGCGGCTCCAGCAACAGAATAGAGACGTGTGAAGGGACTCTGCAGGGCTTCTTGGGTCTCCAGAATCCCTATGTTGACCCTTCACCCCCAACACAACAGTAGGAAGACATGTGGTCTTTAGGAGTGCTCAGGCCTTGAAGGCCCTTCCCTCACCAATGGGATTGAAGCCTTCATAAAAGAGGCTAAAGAGAGCCTGTTAGCTGCCGCCTCCTTCTTCTTCCTTCCTCCTCCTCCTCCTCCTTCTTCTTCAAGATTTATCCATTTATGTGAAAGGCAGAGCTACAGAGAGGAGGAGGGAGAGAGAGGTCTTCCATCCGCTGGTTCACTCCTCAGTTGGCCACAATGGCTGGAGCTGCACTGATCTAAAGCCAGGAGCCAGGAGAGTCTTCTGGGTCTCCCATGCGGGTGCAGGGGTCCAAGGACTTGGGCCATCTCCTACTGCTATCCCAGGCCATGGCAGAGAGCTGGATCAGAAGTGGAGAAGCTGGGACTTGAGCCGGCGCCCATATGGGTTGCTGACATTGCAGGCGATGGTGGCGGTGGCAGCATTACCCACTATGCCACAGCACCAGCCCCTGCAGCTTGATGTTAATAGGATTGCTTCAGTGGGGGCTAGAAGGTGGCTCCAGTTTCTAAGTGCTGAGCAAGTACAATGTGTGAAAGAAGTGGAGCTGAGAGACAATAGGGAACAGCCTATGGATTAGGTTAACTGACCTGTGAAGTTAAGAACGAAATTCTTAAGCAGATTGTGTCACAGGGATTCAGCATAATGAGCACGAAGTTCTCATTGGCCACCCTGTATGGAAAACTCCCTGAAGAACCAGACATTATTGTATTTTTATTTTCTTGTGCACCAGTGTCTTGAACAGAGAATATGCAACAACTGATGGCTCACAGAATGAACTGGGCAGTGGGGAGGTAAGAGGCACCAGAGTGGACATTTCCAGAGATGAGGAAAGACTAGCTGAGCTTTTTATCCTAGTCCCAAGTTCTTCCTTCTCTAATTCTTCCCTAATTCCCTTTTCCCAGTTGTAATTCTTCTGAGAACCAACCCTGAGTTGTTTGACTAGGCTTAGGAAATCCTGACTAGGAAATACGAAACTTCATATTTGCTTATAAAACTCGAGGAATCTCCAGCCGTCTGCTGTGGCCAGGGAGTGCAGTGGAGGATGGCCCAGGTGCTTGGGCCCTGCACCCCATGGGAGACCAGGAAAAGCACCTGGCTCCTGGCTCCTGCCATCGGATCAGCACGGTGCGCCGGCCGCAGCGCGCCGGCCGTGGCGGCCATTGGAGGGTGAACCAACGGCAAAGGAAGACCTTTCTCTCTGTCTCTCTCTCTCACTGTCCACTCTGCCTGTCAAAAAAAAAAAAAAAAAAAAAAAAAAAAAAAAAACTCGAGGAATCTGGCCATCTTTTATAAGACCAAGTCGTTAGTCAGCTATCAGTATTGATAAATATGAGAGACTAAGTACTTACGAAGGAATAAAGTTTGTCTTGGAAGTTCAATCCAACACAGGGTGTGCTGTCTGCTGTGGTCAGGGGGTGGCGGTGTGGAGCGTGTGCAGAGGAATGAACAGGCGGTGAGCCAGGAAGCAGAGAGGCGGGGCCCAACCTCTCCTTTATAACCAACCCTCTCAGGAAGCTGCTGTCTGAGGTCATGGCTCCCAAACACCACAATTGGATTAACCCTCCACCCTGTTTAGTACCACTGACTTATGACATTGGGGTTTAAAGATCTCTGTGAGTTGGGGGAGACATTGTGTTCAAACTGTAGCAACCCCTGAAGGCTTACTTTGTGCATGCTTTCTGTCTCATATGCCATTGCAGATAGTTCTCGTTACAGCCCAGTGATTTCAGAGACCCAGCACCCTTGAGAAGTTTCAGGGCCTACATGATGGAGCCAAGCTTGTGGGATCTGGAAAGTTCGTGTTACTAGAGGCTGTATTAGAAAAGTTGTGGTGCAGTGGGTTAAGCTGTGTGGGATGATGGCATCCCATATGAGCACTCAGTTCAAGTCCCAGCTGCTCCACTTCCGATCCAGCTCCCTGCTTGTGTGCCTGGGAAAGGCAGTGGAAGATGTCACCCACGTGGGAGACCAAGATGGAGTTCCAGGTTCCTGGCTTCAACCTGGCCCAACCCTGGCCATTGAGGGTGTTTGGGGAGTGAACCTGCAGATGGAAGTTCTCTCTGTCTCTCCCTCTCCCACTGCAACTCTGCCTTTCAAATATATAAAAATTAAAGAAAGAATTAAGAAAAGGATTGACTGTGCTGAAGAAAAGCCTGAGGCTATTCCTAGGGCCTGGGGCGCCCCTCTGCCAAGGGTCCCAGAGCACAGGAACACTTAAGTCTATACCCAGAATATGCAAGGCAGTCCACGACTCCCCAGCTGCCTAGAACTGTGTCACTATTTCCTCTTGGTATGGCTTCAAGGGTGCCTGGGGTTAAGGAAGGTACTGGTTTGGGCTGCATTTTGTACCAACCACTCCACAGGCCCAGGACACCTGAGGTAGGTAGGAATAGTCACTTGTTATCTGATAGGACTGTTCTGGAAAGAAATCAAATCTGAATAAAATACTATAGAAGGCAGTGAACTTGAGCACAGAAGGTGTTCCAACAGGCTCACCCTGCTTCTGACTTTGTTCTAACCGCATCAACTGCCTCTCGTGCCTCTCACTAACTTACTTATAGATTCCACTGATTTATTTTATTCTTAAAAAGTATTCATTTATTTATTTGAGGGAGAAATAGAGAGAGATCTCCCTTCCACAAGTTCACCTCTCAAAATGCCTGCAACAGCTGGGGCTGAGCCAGGTCAAAGCTGGAAGCCTGGAATTCAATCCAGTTCTCCCATGTGGGTGATAGGGAATCAAGGACTTGGCTCATCACCTACTGTCTCCCAGGGTGCACATTAGCTGGAAGCTGGAGTTGGGAGAGGAGCCGGGACTCCAATCCAGGCACTTTGACATGTGATGCTGGCATCTTCCCACTGGGAAGATAAATCTTTTTTTAAAGATTTATTTATTCATTTGAAAGGCAGAGTTACAGAGAGGCAGACATAAAGACAGAGAAGTCTTCCATTCGCTGGTTCACTCCCCAGGTGGTCGCAACGGCGGGAGCTGTGCCCATCTGAAGCCAGGAGCCAGGAACTTCCTCTGGGTCTCCCATGCAGATGTAGGGGCCCAAGCACTTGATCCATCTTCTACTGCTTTCCCCGGCCATAGCAGAGAGCTGGATAGGAAGTGGAGCAGCCTCCGGGACTCAAACTGCTGCCCATATGGGATGCCAGCACTGCAGGCAGTGACTTTACCGCCACACCACAGCTCCACACCTCCCTTCCC